TTAATGAATATAACAATGCGCATCTGGCAATATATCAACAAGCAACGTGCCATACGCTTTGTTGATTCGAATGTCAACAAGAAAGCAAACAAATAATTATTCATTCATCGAAATTTCATAAATTATCATGAAATTATCTTCCCTTAAATTCACTCCTCATCTTCAATTCATCCTATTTACTGACAAATTTCAATTCAAGCTCCACAATAATTAAGTCTTTTTTGGACAAGTATTCTTAATTCTTGTCATAAAAAGTTGCAAAAAAAGCTTCCCAAAGATTTGGAAACATTTATAAGCTATTTTACATCAACTATGTTTCTAACCTGAAACTTTAATGCAAATTACTAAGCATAAAATTTTTTACAAAGCATCGTCAAATAAGTGAAATTTCATCGGTTTGATTGTTTTTAGTGATTACAATCAATGAAATTTTATAATATAATTGAAAAAAAAGTCGTAAATTTCATTTCTGTAATTTCAATAGTATAAAAATAAATCTCCAAAATAATTGAACTCCTTTCGGAGATTTAAAATGCTGGATGCAATGGAAAAAAATACAATACCATAGGTTTATATGCTGAAATATAATAAATTGAATCAGCTTGAAGAAATGGAAAGAGATAATTTCGAAAGAGTAAATTTACTTCTGTTATTTTCATTTCTTTTAATTATAAACGCATAATATTATTTCAATGCAAGAAAATTTCAGTCAATGTCTAAAGTTGCAATAATGATATTAAAATTGTTTCTATGAAAAAATTGCATTTTTCATTAGAAACTTTTTGGAAAAAAAGCTATATAAAATTAACAGTTGAATTCATTCGGTGGCAAAAATACTAAATGTTTACCCGGAAAAAAAAGTTTATCAAAAGCTTTTTGAAAACTTTTAATAAATTGGTAATATCATACAATTTCTTGACATTGCCATTGTACGCCAAAATCTTATTAACGGTATAGCAAAGGGAAATTTTCTTTTTTAAATGAAATTACTACTTTAATATGTTACTGCACAAGCTTATACCAATATGTAAAATCGGTAATTTTGATGGTATGTCTTTCAATCATTCACTCTTAATAACATTGTATTGTTGAAATAAAATTTTGATAGTAAGTCAAATTTAATCATAAAGTTGCAAATTATTAAAGATTCTACGAATGCAAAGATCTGAAATAATGTTAACATTATTTTCTATGATTGTGTCCTAATGAGTGGATTTTATGAAACGGTGCCGATAAAACAATATTATATATGATTATGATTAACGAAATTTTAAAATCAAACTCAAAAGCTTATAACACCATTTTAACTTTTACCTTTTTAACCTCATTAAGCAGTAGATTTATAGGATATTTATTTCTTCCGGAAACTTAAATTCATTTGGATGGAAAAAAATGGTACTTTATGAAAGAATGTACATGAAAGAATGTAATAAATTCTAAAAAAGAAACGAAAATTTATTGTAAAAAATAAATGAACAACTTATTCTCAACATTACAAAACTAACAGGTGAAAGTTGAAAAAAAAATGATATGTACTTGGCAAGTAAAAATATAGGACTTACAATTAAGAATTTTTATTTGAAAGTTTAGAAAAAATTTTAGATAAGAAAATCAAGAAATAATAAAGATAAATTATAACTATTCTTATGAAAGAAAACAAATGTCTATCTTCAGTCTTCCACTAAGATAGCACTTTACTAAAAATTCAGTTAATTTTCAAAGAAAAAGATGATGCGAGTCGATAGTTATCAATGGTTATCACTTATCAGTGAGCCAATGGAGGAAAAGTGAGAGGAAAGGCTGGTACAATTTCACAAGCTACGATCCAATAGTGATAAAATTGATACCGGCACTGAAATAAAAGTGTAGAGAGGATAAATTTTTCCAATAAAGAAAATTAATACACTGAAATTCTCATATAATCTGATAATGCTAATTTGTGATTTGAATTAACTAGAAAATTATCAGAATTTGTGAAAATCATAAATTTTCAAAGTTAATCTAGCAAGGATTGAATTAAATCAGTCAAAAAGAAAGCAAAAAACGAAATCTAGCATAACATGTTACTTGTTGCACGCCGCAGTAAAAAGCTTTCGATTCCTTCTACTATTAAATTTTAAAGTTAGATTTTTTCTATCTTTATTCCAAAAATTTCAAAAGATATGATAAATTTTCAAACAAGAATTGATCATTCAACAAAAATAACTATGAATGACTATGAATTAATAAAATGAATGAAAATGTAATATTCAATTCATCTTTTGAAAAAAGTATCGAAGTAGAGAAATGTTTCAAAATAAAAGGGAAAATGCAAATATTTTGGGTACAAATAATTTCGAATAATATTTCCTTAGAGAACTTTATCAATCAAAGCTTCCATTGCTCGGGCATCTGCTGCAAAACGACGTATTCCATCAGCCAAAAGATCCGTTGCCATTTTATCTTCATTCATCTCATGCCGAAAGATCGGCTCGCTAAGTGAAATCTTTTGCATTTCAAATGATTTGGCTGCAATAAGTTCTTTTCAATGTATTACAATCACATCAATCAGTGACCAGCTTGACAATATTTTTTTTCTAAAAAAATCGAGAACAGAACACAGTCTTGCGTGAAAAATAGAAAAAGTTCATATACCTTTTTCAGGGCTCAAAATTATAGGAACATTTTCGCTATCAACCGATAGATCCTTCAGCAATGCCGGACTGCAAAAAACAAATTACACTATTTAACAGATTACTCAGTGATAAAGCATTGTATTTTCAGAACTCTTTTAATAGAACCTCGCGTACGCAAAAGATAAAACGTTTCTAACCTGATCGTCATCAGATCACAACCAATAAGACCTTTGATTTCATCAACGTTGCGGAATGATGCTGCCATAATCTCTGTTTTATAGCCATACTTTTTGTAATAACTGTAGATTTTTCGAACATTCTAAAGATATTTAAAAGATTATTAGAAAATTAACTGATTCAAAAGACATAAAAATGAAAAATTCACGTTTTCCTTTTTCTCCCCATATTAAATTTAAAGAAAAAACCAGTTCGAAAATTTTCTAACCAAAATTATTAAGAAACCTGAACACCAGGATCCGTTTCACGAGTATAATTTGTTGACTCTGTGTTTTTCAAATACCAATCACGAATTCGGCCAACAAACGGAGAAATCAGCGTTGCATTTGCTTCAGCGCATGCGATGGCTTGATAAATGTTGAATAGCAAAGTCATATTGCAATGAACACCGTGCTCACTTTCAAGTATGCTAAAATTTAAAAATTTGTTATCACGAATAGAAATAAATAATTAAATTCAAAAAGAAAAAACAGAAATCCGATTGCATTTAGTAGAATTAGTGATGAATAGATAAAGACAAAAAGTCTCAATATATTTTTAAAAGTTCCAATTATGTCAATAAGGTAACGCATAAGTTTCATTTATGAATAGACTGTTAGAAACACGGAATGTTTGATTGATAGAATAAATAGATCAAAAGAAATTCCTAAAAGAAAGGCCTAAAATACTATGCCATACGTACCTTGGGAAAACGTTCTGTTTATCCATCAGAATACACCAACCGGTAGAAATGCATTTAAATAAAATCTCATTGGAAATTGACAAAATTGTTTCTTAAATTAATGAACAAATCAGTCGTTATTTGTTATTAATGTAAGAGTTGTATAAAATTGATGAAATCGTGAATAATATATATAAATATCCCTACATATCTGATAAGGTGTATATATAAATATCCCTGCATATCTGATAAGGTGAACTAACCAAGCAGCTTGAATGCCTTCCCAAGTTGAAGGTAATTTTATTAGTACACGTTCTTTTGTAATTCCTTCTTCTTCATATAGCTTTATAATAGTCAATGCTTTCGCAATTTGTGCATCTTTGTCAAAGGCTAGTCTAAAAAGTAAGAAGCATGAAATTATGTTAAAACAAAGACGAAAGGTCTTGATAACACTGATTTCATTTAAAATTAATATACCTGTTAAGTTATAAAAGACTGATCGTTTACCAGCATTAGCAGAAAAACAGCACTAAGATCAGCGAGGATAAATAAGAAAAAAGAAAATAAACAAACAAAAATAAATAATGTAAGACTGAAACAAAAAATCTATGCCTAGCATCGACTTCCGTTGAAACGCGTCCAGGAACAACGTTTAGTACTTCTTTTCCCATCAAAACTGCTATTTTGTCCATAGCCAAGGCACGCAGCTGTAAAACAAGAAACAGTCATTAATAATAAATAATTAACTTTCGAAGAAACGCTTTCATAGCTAAACCTTTTCTGGAAAATTAATAAACTGTGTTCATGGATTATGTTCATATTGTTAATATCTAAACAAACATTACAATACCAGATTATAGGTTTATAAGTTAAAAAAATATCGTTATTAAATATACTGAAAAGAAGAGATAATTCTAATAATCAATTGACAAATAATTGGTCATTTTAATAATTTTTAATAATAAATTTAATAATCAACAAATATAGTTATTTCACAAATTCAGGATTAAGTTAAAGTAGTTTCCTTAAAAAGTTTTACTTCTTCACGACTTAATGATGAACCATATTTTTTGGCATATGCAACACCCCCATCCAGAAAACGCTTGTAATCATCAAGTTTGGATGCTGCCAATAAAATTGATGGATTTGTGGTAGCATCCACTGCGCCAACTTCTTTCATTACTGCAAAAAAAAGTGGTAAAGTATTATTTTAAAATAAAGAATTTATACAAGCAGAATTTAGTGCTTAAAATATTGCTTTTGTAAAATCAAAACGAAATTCTTTGGACAGAGAATCTAGCAATTAATTAAATTAATTTAAGTCTGTAATTTGTTCAAATAAAATTTTGGGTTAAAATCATTTTTTTAGACTAAAAATACACTAAAACAAAACTTTTAAAATGTTAAAAGAGTTGTATAATGTTCCAAGAATTCAAATAAGCCAAGAAATCACTATGAATGACAGAGAGCCTTATATTTCACGCATTAATCTAGCCAAAGGATGAACTAGACAGAAGAACTGAAATTTCCCCCAAAAGATTAAGATGCTTGTATCATTGAGCTGGTCTGAATATAAACTTCGAAAATTTCAGTTAAGTGAATGATAATCGAAAATTTTAATTAAACAGAGCAATATCATTCTATTCCACATCAGTTAACTTATGGAGAAATATCATGATCTAATCTTCCCGACCATATTCTATTCTATTACGTCTTATCTTCTTTTTACATCCCATCCAAATTATTTTGTTTTTTACTTTATTTTGTTTTACTACGTTCTGCTTTTGCTTCTCTCATTTCATTTCCATTCTTTTCCATTTTTATTTCCCGATTATACAACTAAAAATTGAAGATTAGCACAAATTTCATTACTTCCGCTGCACATTACAGGGAATTTTTCCATTAAAAATCGAGAGAATAAACAAACGAAAAAAGGCCTATTTAATCGTTTTCTCAAAAAAAAAAGATTAATCTAACCATTGAAATCGACACAATCTGCGACAACTTTTGTCGACAATTTCATCTGTTCCAAAACAGACGTCATAATAATATCTCAAAAAAAGAAGAAACTATTAATATATGAATTATTTACAAATGGAGTTAATTTTGAGAAATTAACAACTTCCACAAAAAATTATTTTCTTAGTAAAAATTTTATTTTTAGTGTGCAAAAAACCAAATCTATCCAATATTTATCACTTTATCTATTTATTACTTTGCTGACAAATTCTATTTATTACTTTGTTGACATTTATTATCTATTTATTACTTTGTTACAGATTTGTAAGTCATCAATTTTTAATATAAAAATGCAAAAATTTATATTAAAGAGAAAAATATTAAAATGTCGTACTATTTGAAAATTTGTCAATATAAATATTAGATAGAATTCGTAAATTCAAATCCCGCTTAATTTATTTTAATTTACGTAGGAAAAAAAACGAAAAATCCTCAATTGTCGCAGAATGACGTATGAAAAAAACATGCAGCTCATTGGCATCTTACTTTCTTACTGTGTTTCATTCTCGGTTTAAGAAATTAAAGAAATAAAATGAAATTTAAAGAATGAAAATTGAAGAAACTGAAATGAAATAAAAATCTGAAATTGCAATCGTTGATGCTCTCTAATATTTTGCATTCTTTTTCATATATTTGTACATCGGTTATACTATAATTACCTACTTTCTCAACATTTTTCCTATTTTCACATTTCATCTCAACGATTTACAACAGGAATAGAATAAGTGGAATGGAAAAGAAAAGGATAAGCGAGCGGATAGTATAGAGGAACAGAATGAAATACAATAGTATATGAAAGAATAGAATAGTACAGACAAATGCACGGAGAGTGCAATGGCACAAAAGAAGAATAGAATAGAAGAGGCAAACAAAAAAGAAAAAAACAAACCGGTTGATGAAGTTCTCTTCGAATCCACTCAAAATTCTACTACACATACTGCACATTGCAAAATTAACTTTCTGATTTTTTTGCAACTCGATTCAGCACCTAGTGGGTTTGCCAGGTAGCGATGAATGCTTTTATCAGTTTTACCGGGGAGTTACCGCCATGGTTTTAGCGGTAGTACTGGTTGTTTTACCGGTGGAGTTGCTATTGCCGGTTCCAGCAGTAGTGCTGGTTGTTTTACTGGTAGAGTTGCTGTCCGGCAATTTCAGCTGTAGTACTGATTGTTTTACCGGTAAAGATGCTATCGGTTTACGGATGTTATAGGCTTTCATCAACAAAAAAGATTTTCTCTTACTTTTTCAGGCACTCTTTATCAGGGAAGCTCTATTATTCCTTTTATCTCTCTCTGTTTATAATCACTCTCTTTTACTGCTTAAACAGTTTAAGGTTGCCAAATATTTTGTAACTTTTAGCAATTTTCCTAAATTGGTATTACATTGCGATATGTATGAGATACAAATTTAGTAAGGAGGAAATTCGTATTATTTGATAGAAAATAATTTGAGATATGAAAATAAGAGAGAGAGAGAGAGAGAGAGAGAGAAAGATGATAAAAAGGGGAGGAGAAAAAATCAGTGATGCAAATTGAAATAGATCGAAAGATAGAGAGGATTAAGCGAAGTCAAATAAATTTCAAATTAAATAAATTAAAATGTTTCGGCACGTTTTTCAAATGGATGAAATAGGAAATGAAATTTAAATAAGTAAAGTGTTTGGAAATATTTTTTAAATGGGTGAAATAGGGAATGAAACCATCCGAAGTGTAAAGAAATGTAAAGTGACGAATAAAATTTCGTACCGCTAGAACAGGATTAATTACTAAGTCTGGTTTCGTTCTTCCACTGACAATTTCTCTTATCACTTGATTTAGTTGTTGTCTTTTGATAATAATAAAACTTTGATCTTTGACCGAAATTTTATTTTAGATGATTGAGCAAAAAAATACAGGTTTTATCATTTTATATGGTTAAACAAAAAATAAAGCATCAAACCATCAAATTGAACTTGTATAAATATCTTATTGCTTCAAATGCTAATAATTCGTAATTTGTCAAAACTAGAAACTGCACTTATTATTATTCATTGTGATAACTCATGATAAGTTCTCAGTTGCTCGATAACTCTCTTCATTATTTTCATTTATGAACTTTTTACCATTATCAATTTTTTCATTGTCTATTTATTATTATTACATCAAATCCAAATCTCAATTTGGTGTTTGAGAAGCTATTTGATATTGCTCACTGTGTCATATATTTGAAAAAGTTGTAAAGCTGTGAGATTGCTTTATATATAATTAATTCTTCATTTTTAAGTAATTGTTTGCTTACTTCATTTTTCTCATCCCACGGATCTATAAATTTCAATTCCTCATTTTGTTTATAATAAAGTTAAGATAATATTGTGATACTCATCAAACTGTAGTATTTTTATGTAGCAGTTTCGAATACACTTTTTTGTAGTTATCCGATCAGACGGTTGATTGAATGGAGTAATTGAATGAATGATTTATTGACTTAATGAATGAATAGACAAATGATCAGTTAAATGTGTAAACAAAAAACAATGGCTCGTAGTTCAGTCCCGGAGGATATTTATGAAATTGTTGGAAAATTAATGTTTGCCTACGGTGATGAAGCTGAACCGATTGAAATGTTAGTTTTCAAACTAGAATTTGAATTTTTTTCATAAAAATCATTTTCATTTTGATGGCTATTCTTCAGAGTCAAAATTAACTATCGGTTACCAATGACTAATTTTTCATAATGTTGGATCTTTTAATTTTTGTATTTCGATTTTTCCGGATGCAGTATATAGAAGTACTTATGATGTATCCCAAAATACCATTAGAGATTATTGACCTGTTAATCTTATTATTTATTTGCTTGTAATTCTTGAATAATACTACATATACTGCGTAGTCTTTATGCCTTGAAATAGTTGAAATTCAGGTTTTGTATGTACCTTCCATATTTTATACCTTTATAGTTTATGCAGTTTAAAAGCGAAATTTCATATATTAATGTCCCATTTTAGTTCTCAACACGATTGTATAATTATTTCATTATATTCACTTTTTTCTTTCATTCTGTGCATTAATTGGGATTCATAACTAAGATAATTTTTTCTTATGCTATCACAGTGAAGAAGAAAAGATTTAATGAATGAATGAATTATTTTAGATGTCAGCAACACGTCACCGATATTTTGCGTGATCAAATGATGGATGCAGTGAATAGAGCGAAGAAATATGCATCATTACGAGGGTGAAAAATTTTATTTTTTAAATTTGTTTTGTTTCATATCTTTTTTTAGTCTTGATGTTTGTTTTTAATTTTGATTTCTTTATAGCTGTAAAAGACTCGAATGTGTGGATTTCTTATTTCTTCTACGTAAAAAACCGTTCCATCTTGGTCGGATTTATCGTATGGCTAAAGTAAGTAATCCATAGACATTTTTTCCGAAATTTCAATATTTTAAAAGGAGATTTGTAGTTTCAGACTATTTATGCTGCATATTTTTTTACAGTTCTGGAAATCATATTATTTAAACTGCAATCTGTTGGGGAGAGAAAGATGGAACATTTAAAGAAGGAATGGAACTCGTATATATCGTTCTTATGTTGAAAATTCAAAACTTTGTTGACTTTAAAAAATGTGAATTTTTGCAGTCAGCAGATTTGTTAAAAGGTTTCCACGAAGATTATGATACAGAATGTGATATCTTGGCCGAAGTTCCAACTAGTAATTCAGATTTCTGTGGAAAAGAGTTTGTTATTAATTAATTTTCCAAATAATTCATTGCTGATTTTTAAACTTATTTTCGAAATAACTTTTGATTATTAATATGTTATTTGACTGGTAGTAGTTAACTTAGTATTTGTTACATTTTAATGAATAATATTAGATGTTATATAATGAAATGTGACCAAAAGCTAAATAATTAAGAATATGATCCAACAAATAAAAGAACAGATATCTTTATACTATGAATGAATGTCATTAGAAGAATAATACGAGATTGAGATGTTACTTGGGTATTTAATCTTTTCGTAGTTATGAATTTGTACTATTTCTATTAGTGGTTATTGTTTTACTGTAAAGTGGTCTGTATGATAAGCAGTAAGACTTCTGTTTGGTTCGTTAAATCCAGTATTGAGCATTTTATCGATGTGCGAATATTACTAATAAGGATTTACGGTATTAAATAGGAAAATGCTGGCGAAGGTTACTTTTGGTATTAAATAGGAAAATGCTGGCGAAATATTAAATAGGAAAATGCTGGCGAACTGCAAAAATGCTTTTGCAGATTGTTTATTTTGGTGCATATTTTATTTTAGAGCACAGTCAATTTATGATACTGTTGGATTATTCGATGTGACGGGTGAACTGCAGAGATATTTGAAAAGCGATGTAAAAATTGATGAAGAAAAACGTGAACGTTTGAAACGGTTGTCAGAACGTACGGCATTGATGGATGAAGATGAATATAAAGAATATACCATAGCAAGGACATATAGCTTTTGTTCTGGACATGGCGTTAGGTATTAATTCCACATTTACTCTCATGTTTTAAAATTGTCAGATTTAAATCCAATTTCAATATGTAAGACAGTTTTGTGTCTTATATATTTCAAATAATTCTCTCTTTAGTTGTAGTCTGACAACTTATCTGATTAGATATGGTAGCAGCCGGAGATGCATAATTTAACAACCAGGTTTTTTCTAGAAAGCCTTCAAAAGCATATTCGGCATGCAATTGAGTTGTTATTACATTAAGGATTTCAATGAATAACTAGACAATATCGAAATAACGTATTTAAATTAAAAAAAGAAATTATGTTTAATTCAATTCCTTGAACTTTTGTAAGTTGCAGGAAAGCAAAAATTGGTCGATTTCTTAAATGGGTAGGTGATCCTGAAATTGCTCCAAGTGCTTTAATGATCCTGAACTATATAGCATGCGAAATAATTTGTTGTTTGGTGGAGGGTGCATTATGGTCGCGAAAGGAAGAGGGAAAGAATCATTTCGTTGATATTTATCCTTTCAAAGCCTTGCAACCGAGGCATTACGAGGAATCACTGCGGAGAAACAAAGCATATATGATTGGTGGTAATATTGTTGTAGGGTCTTATCAGTACTGACTCACATTGAAAATAGTACTTCAAACGAAGGAAGATTGTACGGAATTAGAAACAAGCCGTGTGAAGCAAATTTGCATCATTTTTCTGTGCGAAAGTTTTGATAAGAATATTACAGCAAGAAAAAACGACGGGTTGTAATTTATAAATAATTGAAATGTTATCTTTGATAACAGTGGCATCATTTATCGTGAGACTGGAGTATTTTACGGTGTATATTGCTTTTTGCGTATCTTTTATTTGTTTATATGAAATTATTCGAGTTTCAATAAAATCCTTGAAATGAATCAGATGAATGAAGTAGTTTTAAGAGATTTTGATTCTTTATAATTGAAAAACGAAAAAAAAAATTACAAGTATCAGTGCTAGAATATTTCATTGGAAGGAATATGCGCGAAATATATTCTAACAGAGAAATGGAATACCGAAAAAAATAGTGGCATAAATTTAAATAAAAAGATTTAAATTGAAATTGGCAAAGAAAAATGAAGTATGATAGGAGTAAGGGTGTAAATTGTATTGTTAACAAGGCTTCTTGTTTGACGATTTCAATGTTACATGAGGCATGTTCGGATTTAGTTACCGGGAAAAAGAATCAGGAGCAGAATTGAATATCTGTACGAAGATTTCTAAAAGAAAGTTGAAAGTTCAATCGTCCTAACTCTAATACCCTAATTGCGTAGATAATATGTGTAATTTTGCTCCAACGTGAAAACATCATCAATTTTTAGTTTTTATTTTATTACTTCATGACATTGAGTCATTTAAACTGAGTTTTGTATTTGATAACTATCATTTTAAATTTAGGGGAATTATCATTTATCGTTAAGTAATTATTCATTTTACTGCTTATTCTAAAATGAAAGGATTATTGAAGATTATACAAAGGCATTATTGATGAGAATGAAAATAGGATATAGGAGGAGATTTAGTGGAATATAAAAGAATCTAAATTAATTATAATAATTTCCTATCATTGGTACCAATAAGCTAAGAATATATGAGTGTATAAATGAAGCCAACTGATTCTATCCTTTTGATTTGCACCAAAAACGACATCAATCTTCTTCGTTCTCATGTCAATTCATGCGAAATTTATTGCATAACTTCAAATCATTTAATCACGTAAATTATTGCTTTTTCTTCTCTCTCTCTCTCTCTATCTCTCTATCTCTCTCTCTCTGTCACTCTCTCTTTCTACTTAATCAACATCTCTTGAAAAAGACTATCGTATATTTTGTTCTTTAGCTGATAACATTATATCATTGATTAAATACATATATGATATTAAGCTATATGTGATCCGGTATGAAACTATATCGTATAACTATCACAAAATAAGTAACATAAAATATCTATTATTAATACATCGAATAAAATTGTCGCAATTTTTTTCTCTTATTTTAAAATTTGAGTTTAATGGAACATATAACATGGATCCGTTCCGGTAAACCGATAAAAAAGAAAAATCAAAATTTATTCCGCAGGGACAATATTCTGCTATCATTGTCGCATTCCATTTTATGATTTTTTAAAATTTTCTTTTAAAAATAATTTTGCTCTCTTCTGCTCATCTGTCTCTTTATTTATCATTTCATTAACGGTCATCATATCCATCCATTCGGTCATATCGATTTAACCATTTGTCTGCCGGTTCACCTATGTCTGTTTAATTATCCGGCAGTTTAAATCTGTTTTATCATCCGGTTACATTCACTTAACCGTTTTTCCCTTTACATTCACCATTTACCTGACTTTCCACGTATATCCTTCATCCACTTATTAGTTTCCATTCCAAAGAAACAATTTTTTATTTTCATTTTTGAAATTTTATATTTTATCCATCAGTAATAGCAATAGTTGTTAGTTAATTTGCATACATGCTACTCTGTCTTTGTATTACATTTCGTAATAACCAAAAAATACTTTGCATTTATTTGAACCATAAAAATTTGATCAACAATAAAAATTATTTAACTGTTAAACAATTCCAATATTCCTCATCCGATAATGATTACAAATTTCATTTCAGGCAAACAAAATTGTAATTTTTATTTGGAGATTTTTTTCTCACTATTAAATATGATTATTTAAGCTAATAAATTCTTTTGCATATTTGAAATTGATAATCGATTTTTTATAATTGCCCACAAACAAAAGGATTAATATTAGACTTAATGTAAGTTTCCTAATTAATACTTTCTTTCCTTTTCATTTGAGAAAAATTTTAATTATGTGCAATTTTTTTAAGATTGCTATCGCTATAGGATGGGTATTCCTGTGTGCTGCAATCTTTTTGAAATTTGAAAAAGAATGGGACTACTTTAAAAGTTTTTATTTTTTCTTTTGTTCACGTACTACTATTGGTTATGGTATGTCACATATTACTAATTTATCTGTCATCATTGTTTAATTTTACAATAATTTTGTTAGCTTTTTAAAAATTTCCCAAACAAACATTTCTCTATTTCTTTTTATTCTTGCTTATTTTTGCAACAAAAACTTTTCAAGGATTATGATTTAAAATGTAAAAGTTACTAAAGTCTAATTTTAATTTCGATATAAAAATTAAATTGTAAAATTTTGAAATATTTTTAGGCGATGTAACGCCAGAAAATTCGGTGGATATGTTTGTGATATTTGGACTGATAGTGATTGGACTTGCGTTATTTAGTATGTGTATCGATGTTCTTCAAATTAAGTTCGAATGGTTATTTGAGGAATTGCTGGTAACATTGCTGATGGAATGCAAACAAAAGAGTGTCCCAGCTGAAAAAATAAAAATTCCGGTAAAATTATTTGTAATTAATTACTAAACTTTAAATCCAACAAGTAGAAAATACTAAACGATCGAATTTTATATTTATTTTTGATAAAGAAATCATAGATAATTTAAATATTATATTAACGGTAATTTGGAAATATACACAACTCTGATCACCACTTCAGCAATTTTAAAATTTCAGCATTCAGATTATACTCAATGAAAATTTAAATTTTAATTTAATCTTAAAAATTTCATCAGCACATGTTTAAACATTCAATCGAAGTATTTGTTGGACAAATAGAACGTTTGTCATAATTTTCTGCAAAATTTTAGCCAATTTTTGGAATGCTGAATTAAAAGCGAAAATAATAAAATTTTAAAAAGCATCGAATGAGCATTATATTAGTTTCGTTTTGTTTCAAGAAATTTACAATATCACAGAATAACTTTAGGTTGATGAATTAAGGAAAAAAAGTAATTAAAATTAGTTAAATCAATGATTCAAATTTATAGTAATTATTTACTCAATTTCAGACTGAGATAGATTTTGTTTCCTTATGGCGTCTATGGCGTAAACGAATGCGTAAACGAAAAATGCAACGTAAAAATACAATCACAAATATCATATTGCTACGATTTAAACGTGATTGACGTGCATTCATAGAACATATACATCGTGCACTCTACATGGTAACTTATACACCTGGATTTTAATTGGTGCTTAGAATTAAGCAATCTTCTGAATTATCATAATGAATTCAAAATTATTGATACTGCTATAAATGAAAATAAAAACATGTCATTCTTTGATTCTCTGTCCTTTATCAATCCCTCTCATATACTATCTCATTGTGCTCATATTTGTCTGATCGTCTCATTCAAAGAAATGTCTCATAAGGCGGACGCAGTGGAGATTTTTCAAATTAAAATTCTGCCGGTAATAATAGATTTGAATTTTAATTTTTATCGAGGGGTGGGGTGGGCTTGGGTGGCTAATTTTCGATCTCGTCCTCTACTAGTTAGTTTCTTTTTATCCTAATAGCATTATCGATAAGGCAAGTTTGCTCGTATTGTAACGGAAGAGATGAAGAGAGAAGGAGAGAGGGAGGAAATAAACGAGTATGGAGTTGTAAATTATAATACCCATTAAATAACGTTTTAAAAAAATGAAGATATATTGTAGAAATCCTATAATGGATAACAAACAGCTAACGAAAATCGATGGCAATGCTGAAAAAATTGCTAACGCTAATACTCGACCAAAGACTCGTGAATGGACGTTGAATGATTTCGAAATTGGCCGTCCTTTAGGTCGAGGAAAATTTGGCAATGTATACTTAGCTCGAGAAATTGAATCCAAATTTGTGGTTGCCCTCAAAGTTGTATACAAAACGCAGTTAGGATCAAGCAATTTGAAGCGTCAGTTACACCGTGAAATTGAAATTCAGTATCATTTGAGGTAGACATTTTAATATGTAATGTTGTTTGCGACAGGCATTTGAAGTTTATTGTTTCATGATTAATTTTAATTCGTATACGTTTTGTTGCTGTTATTTTTTTAAAACTATACAAGAAATTTATTTTATGCTAGGTCGAAATTCGGTACCATTTCAGACATCCAAATATTTTGCGTTTGTATGGATATTTCCACGATAAAGATCGTGTTTATCTAGTCTTGGAGTTTGCGCCGAGGGGAAGTTTATTCCAATGTCTTCAGGAGGTAAAACAATAGTCCAAGTATTCTATATCTTAAATGGGGGAAACTGAAAACTGAGCAAGTTATTTCATAGTTACTTAGCTATAAACAGTAGCATGTAACTTTGTATTTGCTTCTTTGACAGTAAAATTTTAATTCAGATGAAAACATTCCCGCCCGAGCTAGCTGCCAAATATATGTACCAGCTTGCATCAGCTATGGAATACTGTCAACAAAAGAAAGTGCTACATCGAGATTTGAAACCTGAAAATGTTCTTATTAGCGCAAATGGTGATTTGAAAATATCAGATTTCGGATGGTCGGTACATGAACCATCATCAAAGTTTGTTATTATTATTAACTTAAGTTGGAAGATCAGAGGCACGAAATCTTATAGGATGGCTATGATTAGATGCCGATCATACTTTCGTATATTCACGCTCGATGGATTACCATGTATGAACACTTTATAGATTACACTGGTCATAATAAATATTTTGATGTAAGAATTCTTCCAGAAGAACTACAGTGTGCGGTACGTTGGATTACTTAGCGCCGGAAATGGTTCCGAACGGAACGCATGATTCTATGGTTGATAACTGGTCTCTAGGCGTCATGCTATATGAATTCTTAGTTGGGAAACCAGCATTTGAAGCAAAAGTAGTTTCAGTTTTTTTACTTTTGTTGTGCATAATTTTAAAATGACCTCCTTGCTTACTATCGATAACTGTAAATGAATACAAAATAGTGATAAGTTCGAGAATGTTGAAAATTATCTTAAACTTATAGTTCTGCGTTTTTTTACGTCCAGTTTACTTTTCCAGTGGCAGTTTCTTCTAGTCCAATCATTCAGACTGGACTAGAAAAGCCTGTCACTAGATCTTTCCTTACACAATCCTATTTTATATCATCAAAATACTTCAGACATATCAGGATACGTTCGATAATATTCGTAAATGCAGGTATACTTTCCCACCTGAAATACCGGATGGTGCAAGGGACCTTATATCAAAAGTTTGTTTCTATTTTACTTTTCAAGGCAAAATTCTCAATATCCATCTAAAACGTAGATTTGATTTGTCTAAATATAATGAGCTTTTATTTTATTTGTTTTTCTTTTTTTTTATCTACTGAAGCTGTTGTTTTACGCTTTATGCTCTACGCTGATGAAACAGAAATTTAAATTATATACATTAGATGATAGTGAAAATTATATTCTCAGCGAAGTTTTTTATGTAAATTTGCACAATATATGTTGAGCTATTTTTGTGCTTGTTGTTATTCCTGAAAACGATTTTAATTATTTGATCAAATTCTAGCTTCTACGAAAAGATCCAACTAAACGCTTGCCGCTTAGGGACGTTCTGAACCATTCATGGATACAGGAAATGATTACAAAAAGTACCAACCGAGACTCTGTGACTAAAAAATGGCGTTAAAATGAAGAATATAGCTAGTATCTTCCTGTTTTCTGCAGCTACTTAAATTTTTTGGCAGCACTATGGAACGATGATATCTATCAAAGCTAGAAAGCGATAGATATAAAAATATTGTTTATGTTCGTTATATCTTCTAGAAAGTTCGGTGTTTTGATAAGGGTGGAAAGTGAACTACTTACTTTATATCGGCATAGTTTGAGTTTCCAATTTATCTAAAAGTTCTCTGCAATGATGAGAAAATTAATCCCTTTGTGCTATGAGTTTTATTATCCTAGTTTGTTCTATTTCCAGCATATATAGCATTAAATTATTCGTATTTGATTTTTGAAACTATTCACTGTTTTATTTGTCACGTGGAATTGACTTAAATACGATAGATTTTCAAACAAGTTTTTTCCAGTTTATGTTGTCGGTGCTAAATGGCGTAAGAACAGACATTTTTTCTTATGATAGATGTTTGACAATTTTTCTTTTTATTTGACACTCGTTTAATAGTTTTCTTTTCCATGCGGCATATATCTCGAAGATTTTTTCTTTTGCTTACATATTCAATGGTTTTCCTTTCCGCATTGCGCATGTGACACGTATTTGATGGCTTTATTCTCTATTTTAAAACCTTTGATATCATTATACTAAGCAAGCGATAATGCAAGACGGAATTGATAAGTTTCACGCTAAGCAAGGAAAGAAATAGACAACCAAAATGGGCTGTTTTCTGCGATCATCATATAAACACTTCATTTAAAATCATGCCAAGGAAGAAGGACGGAGGGAGAGATAGAAAAAAAATTCTTACATATTATCACGACTTTATCGATTTCATAATTTTATATTCTGGAAGATTAGCAGTCTATAATGATGCCTGTTCTTAAACAAGGAAAATAAGGCATTGGAATATAAATCTGATGAGATTCCAAATTTTCGTCATTTTATGAACTTTCATTGTAAGTTTGTTTCATCGCTAATTGGAAATTGCTATAAAATTGCTAGAACAACTGCCTTCATGTTAACAAATAAGGTCCGTTCAACGTGGTACTCAATGTATTTTACCATAAATTATACTTGTTTCCTGTCTTTCTGTCTCTTTCCTTCTTGTTCTTTTGACATAAAGTTGAAGTCGATATTACGTTGTTGTGCAAAGTAGATACAATAGTAGTACCAGTATAATACATTTTCAAATTTTAATGCAATTTTATCAGTGATTTTCGCATCGAAGTTTTATAACTTTTGCATACTTTTTCGGAACTGTCTATTTTTTTGTGAATTAGATTTTGTAGGAATGAAACCGATTATGGATTTGTGTTGTCGCATAGTGTCAGAAATAATCTATATGTTTATTAAGCTCTATATGTTTATTAAGCTAGTAATTTATTTTCTTTAGCTATTATCAAAATATATTGGTTCTTCGAATGTAAAATTTCTATAACATTTCTGAACAAATTTTACATGCACGTTAACAATTTATACCAATTGTAATTGTGTCATATAACTACATATTTTGACCTTTCCTCTTCCTTTTTAATTTTTTATGATGCTTTATTTGTGAATTTAAGTAAATATATAAGAAATCTTACATAAAGTAGTTATTTGGATCGAACTTTAATGAATTGTTAATTTCGAATTTAGAGGTGCAAGGTGTGCCACTCAGACTGAGTGAAACGCTGTTGTAAGCCGTGAAAGATCTTAGCGCGGATTCATTTGCCTAGTATGAAAGTGTTGAAATTGTTAATGCAATTTTGATTGGAAGCGGTTTCATTTACTGCTGGAAGGAAGAGGGAGGTCTTCTTTTGTCTCAGAGCAATGTTAAGTAATGCAGGAGGAGGATGCATTTCTTTTGTTAGCCTAAATTTGTTGGTTTTCTTTTAGTACTAGTCGATTGAAACCATTTTTTTTGCTTCATAAGCTTAGTTTTAATTGAACATATGATATAATGAACGAATGAGCATTTTTCACGTTTTTTTACCGGTTGATCGAGTGGTGAAATATGTTTTACATTTTTTTATAAAACATATATCAATGACTGCTCGAATTTTTGCTTTTTAGGAAGGTCCAGAAAAGGACATAAGAAATTCTTATCGTTGGAAATGCCAAAATCAAAACGTGAAGTGGATGGTAATTTTTTTCTTCATGAAGTTTATATTGTAGTTTTTTTGCGGAGCTCATTTTTTTCCCGACGGATGAATCCATTAGATGGTATGAGAGGATTGAAGGTATGGAGATAGAAGATTTGACAGAAGATCCATTAGGAATATAGCAGTACTGCAGTGTAGCCATCAATTGGCTTTAATTATTTATGCAACAAAAGGAATTAATTTATGATGTCTGTTATCGTTTCATTTTTACTTTTCGGAATTGTTACTGTTTTTTAGTAGAAGCTAACTAAAACTTAAGCAGTTCTATAATATGTTGTGCCACATATCACATGTTACTACCATTTAATTTTAAGTTTAAATCCACAGATAAAAAAAGAGTGCTCATTTTTTGTGCTGATTTTCAGTGTCTTTAACCCGGGTAAAAAAAAAGACGAAAGAGCAGAAAATAAAATTGGTCGATGAAATACGAAAATGTGTTGATACGTACAAGAATTTATTTGTTTTTGGAATTGAGAATATGCGCTCGACGAAATTCATTGAAGTAAGTTGTAATTATTTTTGAATGATTTGTTGTAAATTAATATTTAAATTTCTTTCTCTTATTACTTTAGCTGGTTGCCAATCCAGTTGGCTGTATGCATTTGCGCTTCTGTTTAATCAAGAAGAATTGTATCTTAAATATTCAATTTGAATCTCATTCTACGTTTTATGTTGTGGTGAACATGTAGGATTTTTGAAAAATTTTTTCAAGTGAAATATTTAACTGAGGAATAAGAAAAAGGAAATGATATAGAAAATTGTTTTTTTGACAATTTCTTGTAGTTTTTTTCATAATATACACCATCGTATGAAATAGAGGCATTTTGTTCTTTCTTTATTTTCAGATTCGACAAAAATATAAAAATAATTCACGTTTCTTCTATGGCAAAAATAATGTTATGGCGATAGCATTGGGCAAAACTCCATCTACAGAATATGCGCGTGAATTGAATAAGGTTGCCAGTTTGTTCGGAATTAATAATTTTTGGATTGTTTTAGTTTTGATAGTCGAAGTGCACAATACAAAAGAATTTTTAATTTTTTTTTGATGTGTCATAGATACTATGGGTGGTATTCAGTCCAATAAGTTTATATTAATTTTCCGTAAAGGTCAGTGGTGTGTTGAAAGGAGAATGTGGTTTGATGTTTACAAACGAAGATCAAAAAACTGTTAAAAAGTAAGTCCTTACCCATTTTACTAAAATCATTAATAGATTGCTACCTATGGTCTAAAATTATTGTTAAGGAGTTTGGAAAACCCTGTTCTAAATTATGGTAGCATGCTTTTTCTGGACGTTTTCAATGTTTTGAAATATTATGTTTTGTTATGTTTCAGATATTTCACTGAGTTGCACATGTCAGACTTTGCTCGATGTGGTCAAATTGCAGTTGATACGATTGAACTGTGTGAGGGACCATTAATGCAGTTTCCGTTTTCTCTGGAACCACAACTCAGGAAATTTGGCTTGCCAACTAAATTGGAAAAAGGTGTAAATTTAAGCCTGGCTTTCTATTATATATTTTAACTCTTTTAGTAAACAAATCAAGTTAGGATTTGATCATATCTTATAGTAGCCTTATTGCATATTGCTTCCAATGGTATGCTACTATCAGAAAATGCTCCTTCTACTTTTCTGATCCGAAATTTCAATTACAAAATACTCATGTTTAAATTGCAGGTGTGGTGACGTTGATATCTCATTACGTTGTTTGCAAAAACGGTGACAAATTAACAGCCGATCAGTGCAGGTTATTAAAGCTCCTTGATTACAAGATGTCTACATTTCATGTAAAACTTTTTGCTCATTGGTCTAAACACAAAGGCTTCACTTATATTACTTAATATATTTTTGGATATCATTGTCTTCCTGTTGAAATACATATCAATGTGAAATATTGGAATCTTAAATTAGCAAGACTATGATTATTCTCTATCAAAGGAACGATTGATTTGTTTTCCTGGTAAATATAGGAGAAAATCTCCCATTCCGAATGTAGAATTCGAATTTAATTTTACTTCTGACAGATAATTCTTTTGTCGCTCTTTCGATATCATTCCCCATTGCTATGATTTTAACATTTCTTTTGCTATTTCATTTAGTACATGGAGTGTAGATCAGGAATCCAAGTATTTTTCCGTTATTGCTCACAGGAAATTGTTGCTTTTATTGTTGTTGTTGTTGTTGTTATTATTATTCTATTTATTTTTATGTAAATTGTTGAGAATCATTTGAAACTGATTAAATAAATGGTTAAAATGCTAAAATAAGTGTAAAATATGCATATAACATTAAAAAATTGTACCACACAACTATTCGGTTCCCTTTTTTGTTCGAGTTTTCAATGAAATATTTCCTAAAACAGCATCGGACAAGTACATTTAAAATATGAAGAAGCCTATTTTACGTTTCATATTTCGAATTGCTAAAATGTACTTTTGAACATCTCAAAATAAGCTACAATATGCATGAAAGATAAAACAGAGGTTGGATATGTACAAGTTTGATTATTTATATAGACACTGTGCAAATGGATATACTGTTAAACTTAGGCGAGTATGTTATTGTCTTTTAATAGTAAGCTGCTCTGCTATTCTGATCTGAGTTCGCAGTTTCATTTCCTGTTTTCTCTTTTAGTTGCAAACTTGTGTTTGATAGAACATGGGTGCAAGTGATAGCAGTGATCATACGCGGAACTTTCCAGCTATTTTTGCGAAAATTCTAAGGTTACTGGTAATTTTCATCTCTTTGACTTTATATAAAAATAAAAATTGAAATCATCAATATTCATGACATTGAATCTTTGGAATTAAATTTAGAGTGTACAAATTAGGGATGAGGAGATCAATGTCTTATTATATCATTTGGCAAATTATATTTTATTATAGCCATTTTAATGAAAATTTCAGGCTAAAAAACAAGAAACCATTTACTAGTAATGATCCATCTACTGCAGCTATTCAAATACAACCGCAAACAGAATCCATTCCTACCAGTAATACTTTGTAATTTCCCTTTATATATGTCTGTAAATTTAATTTTTATACGAGGGAAGATGAAAATCGCAACAATTGATATTATCAGTGGTAGATAGGGCAAAGAGAACAGTTTTGCCGCTAGCTTATTTTTATTTTTGGGAAAATCTTACCCATACTTGGGGTGTTAGTCCACTAGCGGAAAATATAACTAAACTAGCACTTCTAAAAAATCATTGTAATAAAAATCGTTATTGTATAGCAATTAGTATACCTCAATATATAAGCTTCGATAAGTAAGGCAATGTTCGAAAACGATTGATTCATGAGTAATGTTTATCTCGAATTTAGTACGAATTTCATCAAATAAACTCTAACTGACAAAATTTCAGTTACCTGAAGAAATCATATAACCTTACTACAGTACTGGAGAACTTGAATCTTCATCTTATTTATTATCGTTTCAGAAGTTTCAAAACAAGCGAAGAATTTGAAATTCAGTGAAAGCAAGGCTTATTTTGGCATTGATAAGCGAAAACCATTGGATGAGACGATAATAGTGCCTTCACAGCCCTATCTGGAAGCTTTGGATTCTGCAGTTCACAAACGAAGAGTAATTGCATCATTTTTAAGCAGTCTTGCGGCAGTATGTTTCTACTTCTGGTATTCTAGGTTGGTGATTTTCCAACCAGAACTATTTTTAATTATATGGTTACAATCGCTAAGTAAGCTAGATATTGGATTAGTGGATTTAGTGATGTAGAGTGGTAAGAAATATTTGTTAAGATTAAGTCGTTTGTTATTGAGCTTTTTTAAATATTTCACTAATTTCGTGAACTTTCTTTATCTCAAGTTCCTTTTTTCTCTTTCTTTTATCTTTCATTCTCATGCATAGTATTTTCACTATTTATAAACATAAATTAAATGATCGTTTTTTTAGAAGAGATTATGATGGATTCCTGAATGCTCCTAAATACGAAGTAGTGCCAACCCTGAAAAGGTATGCTTTACGTCAACAAATAAAAGAAGCACGTGAAAGCGGAAAAGATACGACATATTTGAAAGCGGCGTTAGAATATGTTGATGTGGAGGAAGCTGTATATCGAGCTGAAGAGGGTGCTTTTACACTTGACAGTTGAATTTAAGAGGGTGTTTTTACACTTGACAGTTGAATTTCATCATTTCATATCCATGCGGTCATGTAACCTTGCTAGTCTGAAATATAAGAAGACAAATCGTCACATGACCATAGTAGCAGCCGCCAAAACTAGCCGATTTTAATGCAATATTTTGTTAACTGCTTAGCTGATCACGACACCACCGTAGATTTGTCGGATTTAACGGCTGAGCTATCAGCTTATTCCATTATATTCATCTCATCATAAAACCACATAAAACCACGGACTTTGTTAAAAAATGAAGATGGACGGCCAGAGGATTTGAAATCAAACGGAACTTTTATTTCAGACATATGAAATATGAAATGCAGCACCAATAAAAAAACCTCGTCCTTCGACTCTTTTTTAGGTTTCTCTAGCAGACTCAATCCACATAAAATTTCGAAAACTAGAAAGATATTTTGATTGTACGGTATTTTGACTCAAGACATTTGCTTCCGTATATTTTCAGCAGTCATAGACTTTCCTTGCTCATTATTTGTTGGAAAAAAATAATTCTGTACGAGTAAGGATTCTATCATTTCGAATAAAAAGAATTAAGCAGAAAGAATCAATTTTCCATGTCCGATTTATATCACAATGTACTGAATATCAGCAATGGTGTTTAACGTAATATATATATGCGTTTGTGTCAGTGACAGTTTAACGAAATAGCTTTATAACTTCAAATTCAACACAAAAAAGCACTGGGCATCAACTTTTAACTATACACCTCCTTTTAGAGTGCATAAAAATAAACGACATTGCAACAGGGTAAAACGACGACTAAGCAAACAGCGACTCTTACACCTTTCATAGTGTTCTAAGAACTGCGGATGAAAAGGTCTTGAATTTGGTATCATGGTGTAGAATTTAAAAGCTGAATAAAAAATGAACACTGATTTAAACGTAAGCAGGGCGCTGTTAGCATAGTCTATTAACCGGGAAAAATTCCCATACAGAAACATTGACATAAAAGTCGAAGCATAAATATCGAAAGAACATACCCAAGATTTCCGGTCGTAGAAGAAAAAGTTCATATTTCATCTGTGATTTTAACATTTTAACCAATAAGCAAAGGTCGGGGAGATTTGAAGAAGTCAAAAATCGCATATATATTGCTGTGAAGAGATTTTCACGTTAATTAACCATTCCAATTAATAAGAACGAGGAACGACAGAAAAAGGAAAGTGCTAGAAAGATTTTCCAAAAAACCTTTTACCAATTTATAAAAACACATAAAAACCACGCAGTAACATTGCACTATAGCAATTACCAAAATAAAATATTTTTGTAAAAAACGACATGTTGCCTGGTCAACCGATCAGAGCAGCAAGCAGATTTTTTTTAATGCAAGCAGCAGAAGTACATAAGGGATGGAGAGGGGATAGGAATAAGGGGAGAGTAAAACGAAACACCATGATAAACGAGGTTGCCAACATTCACACGGTTCAAAAGAAGAATAGAAGATGAATGAAAACATTCCACGAAAATTACTGTGACGTTTTGGTATAACTTTCAAAATTAATTTGGTACAGCAAAGTGACAGACAGTATCCTATAATTTCAGTAATTTTCTGAATCGCTTTCATACATCGATTGCTTCGAGATCATGTTGGCTTTCTGACATGTGCTTCAGTTTGTCATACCTTCCGCTTTTGTTGGACTATCCAGTTTCAATGTTTGCATGGCTACCATCATGATCGGATCAGTTAGAAGTGGCTGTGTTGCTTGTGTTGCTTTAAAATGCAGAAGCTGTTGACGAACCTGAAATTTATCCCTTAATAAATAGGTCTGGCTGATTATCAGCCAGACCTATCAAGCGTTGCTGGAAGCAAGTTTACAAGTAATGCTCAATCAGTTACAAAGTAACATCAGATTGCATTTTTCCCTTCTCATCGTATCACTTCCCTTAAAATATATTTGAAAAAAAAAATACCTCAAGGTGCAATACATATTTTGAAAACAACAATTATTTAAAATCCTTTTTTGCTATAGAATTAAACGAGAATCATTCATTTACTTGCTTCATAGTTCATTCTTTTAAATATTAAAAAAAAACCTTCATGTTGATAAAGCCAAGAATATTTTTGCCTTCGCCTACTAGTGGAATATACACCAATGTTCCATTATCTATTTTGGTCGGAATCTGCAAAAGCGCGAAGCTGATTTCTTCTACTTTTGCTAACTTGAAGTTGTACGGAACAACCTTTTATTCTGTGACGGCTCATCCGTTCATTACTTACCGTTGCTGTGGATAGTAACAGGGAAATTTCCAATGTTCTGAAACGTACCACACAGCGTATTGCAAATTAACATGACGAAAAATATCTACTCATGCAAACGGAAAACAGCTTTGAAAAATACATGGCAAGGAAGAATTAAACTATACGACCAAACCATTAAACATCACCTTGATAAAGTGAGTACCAACCTAAACATTAAGTGTAATCACCTGAATATGTACCTATAAATAACAACAGAAAACAAAAATACCTTAATTATTTGTCCATTATTATTTTTCGCCCATTCTAACATCTTCTCCCTATCGCAACCCGTAGCAAAGATATTATCCCGTTCATATGTATGTGCAAGTAATGCGGTACCTGTTTCCAGAAGTTTTGTGCGAAGTTCAGGATTTTGCACAAACTTATGTACTATTGCATGATGTAATAGTACTGGACCCTGAGTACGCTTCCATTCTTCCACCTGAAAAATCCATCTTTGAAAAAGTGCCAGCAGTATTCACACTTCTAAATGATTAAGCTAAACGCAGTGTTTTGTTTATACCGTGAAATGCAATGAAAATTTTAAGGAAACAACTTTCAAAACTTCAAATATTTGTTAAATAACTTAAAGCTACGGTGCATTAAAATACGACTTACTAAAATTTAAAACTTCTTAAAATAGTTGGTGATCTTTTATACGTAAAAAGTTTAATTAAAAATAGAAAATTAATAGAAAGGCAGTGCTAATAATTATACCTTCTCTGACGAAACGTTAGCTGCACGCAAAAGTTTTTTTGTGTGACCTTTGACAAAACCAGCATCAGATATGTTACGAAGTTGTGCAGCAAGACGTGCGCCACCCAATGTGTACAGTTTACAAGCTTGATAATAATGCTCCACACTCGGATAGTTATGTCCATCCACCGTTAGCGTAACCTGTTTTACAGGGACTTAAAATTAAAAATGACAATAACACTTATCTTTTGTTTGATTTACCCATGCAATTAGTGTTTCAAAGAAAAAAAAAATGTACACTAACTGGATATAAATTGGAGAGAAAGTGCTGGCGACCGCTAAAGCAAACGACTTCATCGGCATCTACTTTGTAATCATCGGTATCCACATCGATTGGAACATCTTCAACCTAAAATTAAGCTTACAATTACTGATCGGTAAAGTCATTTACCGACTTAAAAAAACCATGATTAGTCGGAATCAACTGATCAAATAATATAATGCTACTACTGCTTTTGTAACATTTTTTCCAACAGTTTTTGCAACAGCAACAATAACCCTCGACTTTCATAATTCTCAAATAAAAGTGCATTTCGAGAACACAACGAGAGCTTACAGGAGGTGGAGTAAGTGGTTTTGGCGGTGATCGCGGTTCTGTTTCTTTCCTTCCACCCTCAAAACTAGTATATTGCCGCCCGCCCGCTTTATCCGCCGTAAAATCAATATTCCTTCCGCGATAAACTCCCTGAAACAGTCATTTTTAGTAACATATCAAAATATTAACAAATTTTTTATTTTTTACTCTTAGAGATCCCACATTTTCAGCTGATTTAACAATCATTTTTCTTCAACAGAATTCAAATGTGAACACAACCAGGGAACTGTTTAAAGAAGCACGTAGTCATGAGCCTAACAACAACTGTTGCTCACTTACATAATAGTAAGTTCGGGATGGCCATGGTTGAGTAAGTGGTACCAGTCCAGCAGAATCAATTTGCCTATGACGTCGTGCAGCTTTTTCACGAGCAATTTCCATCGCTTTAATGGATGCAGGAGTTGACATCTCAAATAGTTCTCTAAAAAATCAAAATTAGAGAGAAAATAAGTTGGAAATTTCTAACCTCATGTAAATTTAGGATATAACAAACATGAAATTTGACTGCACATTGTAAAGCGAAGTATAATAGTAGATGCTGTTTAGGCCAGTCTGCAAACGTACTTTAGCGATTGGTTCAAGAACATACATGGAAGACTAAAAGTATTTTGTACAGCTTATGAAATAAATCAGGACTCAACGAGCATATTTTTACTTCTTTACATCCATTGATTGCAAATTTAAATTTACTGAATGAAATAGCAAACCATGAAAATCTACAAAAATACCATTACTATTAAGTCAATGACTACTGCGATCCATTTAGATTTCTTAGTCAGAGGAATATTTAATAAAATTCAAACAAAGCTGCAATTTTTTGGAAACCTTTAAATTTACAAAAATAAAATCGCAAGAAATAACAGAATGATAAAAGATATACTTATGACTTAATTCAAAAGCATTTCGCTATAGGAGAAATTAAACAAGCACATGTTTAAAAATTTTTTACTTGATTTTCTTCCTTTTCAATTTAATAATTGCGAACTAATAAAATTTAAAACTAGCTACGTGCATTATTAAAATATCATATGTGTTAAAATCTGCATTGCAGTGTCCAACAAAAAGGCGCAAATTTAGAGCTCTATCGCAAAATTTGGAAATGGCAAAAAGAAAATTATTTGCCAAAAAAAAAAAAATCACAACACGAACAACGGATGATTAAGCTCAATGGTGCTCACCATGATTAAGCTCCAAATACGCTTTAAAATATTATTCAAGTGCAACAGAAATATGCTGATAATGATTTAATCTGATCAATCTGTGAATTCAGTTTACAATGATAAAGTCCTAATGAAATTTATTGAATATAAGATAGTTCTATAACAATCACTACGAAAGTTCACTGCAGTCAATTCAAACTATTTG